TCTCTCTCTCTCTCTCTCTCTCTCTCTCTCTCCCTCTCTCTCTCTCTTTCTCTCTCTGTGTGTGTGTCGCCTAGGCTTGGCACACCAGCTGGTGCACACTGCTCTGATCTTGTAGCGCTATTGTAGCAGTAAGTGCAGCGACGGGAACCCAACAGTCCCGGGGGCTCCGTGGCAAGATTACGCAAATTGCTAGGCCCCCAAGCCCGCGCTGAAGCACGTGAACACATGAAGATGGAAAGTATCCATCGCCATGTCCAAAGGTATCCATGTCCATATACCTTTCGTGGGACGAGGTCACTCGGGATCTTAGAATGACATGACACCGCCCTTCGTTCCTGCTCCTGGTTCTCTCTAGCGCTGAGCGCGGGGTCCATAGAAGGCTGACAAGCGCGCGCTAAGCACTGAGGTTGTAAGAAAATACTCCAATTGGATAGTCTAGACTCTTATCTAGACTATGCATGTAGATAGTCTACTTGCATGTACTTCACACAGCAGTGGTAGATCGAGGTAGCTCATAAGATTTGTCGATAATCCGTTGGCATCGACTTGCACTCCCCGGCATGGACGACAAGGGCAAGGGGTCGAGGGCGGTCGAGAGGACGCGACTCGACAAGCCGGTGGGCACCGGGAGCTACAAGAAGTCGTCGGAGGACGACGACCAGCGCCGCGCCGCAACAAGGGCGAGGAGAGTGACGGATTACCGCTCCTACGGTAGATAGATACCTATCATAGGAACCGAACAAACCCAGAATGAAAGGCAGCACATGTTGCTGTGCGTCACGAACGGTGACCTCTATGGTGCCTATCGACCCGCAGAAGACGGGTACTCTCGTACAGCTCCTCCTCGACGCCGAAATTTCCTCGTATTGATGATGTACACACGAAGCTGTACAAGCGGTAGACACGGACAGCAGTCAGTCCGGGTGACGCGCCCCAGGGAATGGCCTCACATTCGAACTCTTGTTTGTCTACGGCGTACAGCGGAACAGCACGACGCTGACACTCGTCTGTGGCCCCCGGTAGGGGGGTGCTGGATTTATTTTTTTCTCTGATGAGGCCCCAAGTCACGCATGTAAATAATAATTTGTATGCCTTCACGTGCAAGACGCGCGATGCACCATATCCCCGCCTTACATGATTCCGATGAAGAACGTTGTCGGCTTGTCGTGACGGAGAGGGTTGAGTATAGGTGTCGCCTTCTGTGAGGTGCCTTTTCGTGTCTACCATCCACCGTCCGTGGCTGTCTTAACTAGTAGACATGCGCGTGGTGGAGGGGTTTGTGTTGGCAAGGTCGGCTTGGAGGGGATCCCCCCCCCCNCCCCCCCCCCCCCAATGCGGGGTTTCGAGGCAGCGTGCTCCCGGAAATACGAATCGCACCATGCGGCGAGCCAACCTGAAAGGAAGGAAGGCCCCGGCTGTGTGTGGTGTAGATTATAGGGGAGTGATCCTGCAGGTGCAGTTCACATGGACGCGCGACACTTGTGCAGTTTCGAGATGCTCCTTTCCTCTCTCTGCCTTCTCGCACACAAATGGGCAACCTTTACGATTGTGTGCCCGCGTGACCCATCTGTATTCCCGGCAAGATGTTCCAAGTGGTCGTCGTTGCGACGAACACTCCTCGTCGACCTTTTTGTGTTTTTCCTGCTGCAGCCAACTTGTCGCTGCCCCCAGCAGCAGCGCCTGGTACAATATAGTGACAGCAGTTTTAACGGCCACAAGAGCTCGACCCAAAATGGCGAACACGAAAGTCTCTCGATGCCACTTATTAGCCGATATAGAACGATTCAGTGTGTGTATCCTTTTTACCCACAGTGTCGAGGGCGCATATCGGCAGGCACGTCAGTTTGGTTCTGTTTTGTTTCTGCTGTGCCTTTTTGGCAGGACCCTTGCATCCGCACGATAACACAGTTCATCGACGCGCCCCTCCGTAACGCTTTTGTACCCTGTCACCTGCCGCCACTCGAGTACTCCAGTTGGAACCGTGGAATTACGGGCGTCATGGCAGGCACACGGGCAGGGCGTGGTGGAATGCATAGAACGAGTCCCTGGGTACATCGACAACCGCCGCTCTCATCTCCAAACGCTAGCACAGCAAAACGTGATCTGCATGGCGCGTCAGCTATACTCAACCAGGTCGATAGTGGCTCGGAAATGGAGCCCGGAGGTTGTCGAGAGAGTCGAAGCGTTGGCCGCAAAGAAGCTGGCATCGGACCCGCATTATCGGGGCAAAATCACCCGCCCGACCGGGGACCCCGTGGGGGGCCCAGAACCCCCCCCCCCCCCCAGCAGCAGCAGCAGCACGAGCGCGAGCGTGCGGAACCCGAGGGGGCTGTTGCCAGCATCTGACGGTGCCGTTCGCTTTTTTTTTTGTCTACATATATATATATTATGTAGATGGTTATTTTTACAAAAAGTCGATGCCCCATGGTCGCAGCCTTCAGTCACCATCGCGCGCCAGCATCTGCCTTGGTGTGCTGGGGTCGGCGCGCCGTGCCTCAGGCTTTGGCAGCAACATCTTGCGTTCCTCAGGCCGAGCCGCCCGTGTTTCCGAGAGAGTCAGTCAAGCCTGTTCCAGACGAAGGTGTTGCGTGGTTGGTGGTTGTTGTTGTTGTTGTTGTTTCTCACATTAGCTCTAAAAAAGAAAGATTGGGAGCCCGTGGTCTCAAAACCCGGCATACACGACCCCACGAAGAAACAGAAAAAAAATAGGGTGCAAAAACCACTCGGAAGAGACACAAAATGATAGAAAGAAAGACCAGCTACCGCACCAAACGAGAAAGAGCGTCGAGGAGACCGATCAAAATAAAATAAAAGGAGAACGGGGAACGCTTCCCACACCCGCCTACAACGCCGGAGGGTTCCGTGCCGGGTTCCCGCCGACCAGGCATCCCCCGCCCTGCACCACACCCCAGGGGGTGGTGTGAGCGCTGCAACAGTAGACTAGCCACTCGTTGCCGGAGCTTGCCATTCCCTTGGCGCATGTTCGTCTCGAGAGAAGGGAGAGGGTGAAGAATCCAGTCCTTTTTCAACATGAATTAAGATTGACACGCGGGGGCGTTCGAGGATACGCGGGATGTCTTGGTCGTATGGAGCTGGTGTAAGGTGTGCTTTTTCTGTGGCCTGCTGGGTGGTTGGGATGGGGCCTTCCGCTCTTCTTGTCTTGTCGGTAACTGTCGTCTTGAATACAATGCCACTATGCACGCGTTCCGTGGTAGATTTATCGCGTGGTTTCGTAGAACAACAATTTGATTGCCCGTCCGCATCTACAGCTTCATGCATGCAAGTGCCTCCGTTGGCTTCGATTTTGTTGATGGACTCCGCGCATGTCTCTCCGATGGCTTTCTTTTGTTTTTTTGTTGGTACCTGCATGATTTTTGGCGTGTTTCGTTTTTCTGTGGCAAAGCCAATGCGGGAGGACCAGGCTTTGCCTATGGTTCTTGTACGGGAAGGGATTTGGAGGTGTGCCTGTGTGCGAGACCGCGAAGCAGGGGTTGCCTTGTTGCACACGTTGTGTGTTGCAAGGATAAATTCAGGCGGGACAAGCGGCAGGCCGAGAAAGAGGACATGCCCGTCTAGTGCCTCTGTCTGCACACCACGGTTAAGAGTCGGAGTTCTGCATTCGCACCCATGACGGAACAGAGGAAAGAAGAACACGATTATTAATGACTTCTGTTGTTGCAGGAGATTGCATGCTGCGGCAAACAACGCAGGTATACGAACGTGACAAAACGTCGAAAGAGAACTGGTTTGCTTCGATAGTTTGTGGGTGGGAGAGGATAGGGTTCATGGAGATTCGATCGAGTGTGTTTGGAAGGGAAGGATAGGATTCGAAGAGATGAGGTTCTACGGCAGGAGGGCTACAGCTCTTCATAAACTTACGGTTGAAGCGTCAAGCTGTGACATAGTCTGCCCCGTGTCGTACACGGAAACAGTAGAAGACTAGACTGGGTACAAAATACAAAGCAGCATGAGACAACGGAGTGCGAGTGTGCTGTACATTGTCATGATGCCAAAAGCAAAATGAACAGGCATGATGTCAACTCAATTCCTTAGATTCCTGTGTGTGTACGGAGACCTGCCGGCAGTGTTGCATTGGACACACAAGATGGTTGATCGTATCGTACGCAAAACGATGGTGCTCGTTGGGTCTGACTGACGTTGTCCCGGGCAAGAAAAGTAAGAGTGTTACGTTACCCCCGAGACTAACAGAACGGACTCCTGCTGGGCATATGGATACAACATGCCAAAAGAAAAACAAACACCATGACATGTTCAAGCTGAACAATCGCGGTTTTTCCATTTAAGAATACAATACCAAACTTCCACCTCCTAACCTGGATCACGCAGCCGTCAGGAGGCATAACCAACAACATCTACAGTGAAGTCCGGCACGCCGAACTTTCACTTCCCACACCATTGTTAACCGATGGTGTCACATCACGTCGCAAACACACCCTTTGCTCCTCCTCCTTCCTAATGAATAATGTTTAGAGAAACAGATGTATGTCCATCCCCCAGGCAAGGGAGAAACACTAACACATATTCATGAATGCAGGGAAGACGTTCAATACATGACGCTCCATACATGCGACTCTACTCACTCCAAAGGCATCCAATCCTATCTCTCCGTCACAAGCCCACGAGGGACTACGGTGTGTGTTCCTTTCCCTCATGCCCTCCCAACGTCGACAACATACGGCGTCATTGAACCCGACAACGCTATCAAGGCGGCCCCGTAACGGCTACCGCCCTTGATACATGCACACAACGAGACTCCAAAAAGGGTGTCAACACGAAGGAGCGAACTGTGAGGCGATGGCTTCTTTCCCGCGCATATGCATACGGCGCTGAAAAGCCCTACATACCCTACCATATCCCCATACCCAGGGGAGTCTTACGCTCGCCCCTTTTGCAGACCTGCAAACGCGTATCCAGCAGGGATTGTTCATCGCACAAACACTAAGTTGAGTACATTGAGGGCTTTGCTGGCTCTCCATCAAGCCCTTGCCCAATAAGAGAAAACGAAAAATCACCACTCTAGAAATAAATCAAAAAACGAATATTGTAGATAACAAAAATCACAATACTGCTGTGTCTGAAAATCTGAACGCAACGAAAACCTCCAGCATCGACCCACTTTTTCCTGCTTGCTGTACTTCCCCCTCACGTACAGAGTGCCAAGGACAGAGGGCCAAAAGCCAAGCTTCTACCAAAAAAGTGCCACGTAAGCTCTATAAAAGTGTCACGCGAAAGGGCTCTTATGCATATGTGCTTGTAATGTGGGCCTATCAGCCTTTGACATGACATTTGACATACGACGCCACTGCCACCGGAACAGGTGGAAAGACAACTAAACCACAGCGACGCCATCAACCAAACAACCAAGTTACAGAAACAACAAGACGATTCATTCATGTTTGTGTCATCGAACAACGAAATCAACAAATGCAAGCACGATCGCCTTCGATGTCGCTGAATCCCCACCCGCCCAAAAGAAGAGGTAACTCTTCCACCCGTGTCCATCACTGAAGTCACGATGGCTCCATGACCTCCAACCCCCTACTCCAGACGCAATTCAGTCAATGCGCTCTACTACACTGATACACAACCAATTGCGAGCGCGAAATTACACTCTGTCGCTCTCGAACCCAACCACACCTGACGCTGGTTTCATGCCAGCTCCCACGAATACAAGCACAGCAAACACACAAAAGGAGCAAGCCAACGGCCAACGGTGCAGTAAAGATGCTGCCGCATCGTCCACGTCGTCTCTATCTCCTTTACACAAAAAAGGGCAACAACCAACAGAATAAAAAGAAACATTGACACGACGGGATTCTTCTCGCTCTCGTCACCCCCCCCCCCTGGCCCGTCATATGGGACGGTACAGATGCATAGAAGGGGGTTGAAAACAGGAAAAGGGCAGCCCGAGGCCTCCGTGTCGACAGTCAGACAAGTGACCAGCGTCAAGGCATAAAACCCAAAGGAAAGAAGATATCCACGGCATACAGGAAGCAAACGTGCCATTCAAAACCGATGGCAACTGTGCCCGAACACGCCATGTAGGAACGGGGTGCGCCCTCACTGACTCACTCCTTCCGATACAGGTCGCTGTCATCGTGACAACGACGACAGCAGTAACACAGCAGCAGGTAACATGTATTGAAACCTCGAACCCGAGGCCCTGTCCCGCCTTGCACCGTGTAAATATGTATATACACGCGATTGAAACTGGAAACTGACGGTGTGTTGTTGCCACACTGGCGGAGCACTGCCTGCTACACGACGCGATATCTTTTTACTTGGTTTGGTTGCTATATTGCGATATTGCTGTCGTTGGAGCTACTCGAACACAACTACCAGGGCCGTGGCGTCGTCATACCGTCCCCTGGCGAGAGACACCACTCGCTCAGCGAGGTCCATCTGTAACAGGAGGGCAAAGGGTAGACGGAGAGGGAGAGGGAGGAGAAAGGTCAAGATACGGCAACGCAAAGTACCTGGTACATCTTTTTTCAAAGTAAGTCGACGAGCTGACGGAGGGCATCGCAAAGGTCAAGATTATTCGTGCAAGCTCTTCTTGGGCGCCTCACAAGGCTTCTCGAGTAAAAGCCAAAGCTTGCCGCAGCGGCAGATGAAACTATTTTAGGCACAGCAGACCCAAGATGACAAGTTACGGCGAACCAAAAGTACACACGAACGCATATATCGACATTACCTTCTGCAGCAATTCGTACACAACTTCATGGTTGGACTTGGTCGACTCACCCCTTGCTCAGCCCACTCGCCGCTTCCACAAAACTCGCTCGGCTCGTCCTCCGAGTCGCTCTCGCCGTCGGTGAAGGTCGTCGATCCGAAGGACAAGTTCCGCTTATGCTTGCCACCGCCCCTTGTGCGGATGGCGAAGCGCCGCTTGTGGGCCTGGATCTTGGCGATGCCGTCCTTGACCTCGTCCACAACGATGTTGGGCGAAGTCTCGTCCCAGATCCCGTCGGTGGCTAGCACGAGGAAAGGCGGCACGGACGGCTTCTCGTCACCTTGGAACACGTCGCTCGCGATGTCCACCTTGAAAAGCTGCCGGGGTGGGCACGTGAAAGATGGGCGAGGCGAAACACCGTGAATGATGGAGACGGACACGGACGAAGGCAACCGTGATGTTGATGTGACCAAAAAGGACGTCCATGGGACGGCGGGGGGGGGGAATCGAAAGCCAAATAATAGCCTACCACCGTCATTGGTGCGAGCTGTTCATTCTACTCATGCGCGAACACTGTCTCCGTTGTGAAATCTGAACAGGGGGCAAGATCAACGAAGGCAACACGGATGCCTGCACGCGGGTGGCGCAACCAACGGAACACAAAACAACGATGCAAACCATCATCATGTGCACAACACGCGAAACCTCACGACTGGCTGGAGCCCCTACAACGCTGTGTGCGTACGTACCTCTGGGAAAGAAGCGATGCAGCCTTTCGGGCAGTCCGCCTTCACGTCCACGTCTCCCACCGTGCGGCTCGGCTCCAAGACTCCCTGGAAACGCCCGGAGGCACTCATGTACCCACCGGCCATAAGGAAACGGTTCACCTCGGCGGGGTTGGTGCCGTCGTGGACCGTCTAGAAAGTTCAAGATATCAGCGAGTGACCCATCCCGTTGTCGTCGGCGGAGGGACGCACAGGAAGAAACGTCAAGAGCGGAAAACAACCGGAAAGAAACGTCAGAACAACGCATGCGAATCGAGGAGGGAAAAGGTTTGATATGGACAGCGACAACGTTCGACAACACGTGTATACACATACGAAGATGTCATGTTGCTGACGAAAACAGAACGGTCAAAAGCCGCATTCAGAGCGTTGGTGAGAAAGCTTTTGAAAACAAAAAATAACGTGGTTCAGGCCCACCTCTGTGGGGCTGTCAATGTCACACGACATCCATCCATACCCGGACTGAGGTGCCTAGCAAAGAGCACGGGTCTCCTTCGAAACAGTCCCCCCCCTTCCGTCACGAGCATCGGGAGAGACAAAACAAGCTTTTCGGACTCCCTCCGCCACATAAGAAGCTTAGCGTAGGGTTCCCTTCTTCGTTCTCGGTCTCGCAAAATCTCACCGTCTGTGCAGTGACAGCATCACCAGGAGCGCTGTTGACCTGTCCGTGGTAAACCGCCTGGCAGTCGCCCACGTTCGCCAGCACGAGGGCTCCCTCGCAATACAAACCGGAGATCACGCAAGCACCCGAAATCTGACGACGAGGCGATCCCAAGACGTGGCACCGGGGTTTCATGCAGAGGATGAGGGGAGGCCGCACAACGGTTGGCTAGCGAAGAGCTCAAGGGATACGCCGTGCGGAAACAAACATTTACACCTGCTAGCACACGTTGTCCATGCAAGCAAGCCCTGCAGGGAGATAAGAGGAACGTCGAAGCTGATGCTTGCAAGCAGCGGCAGCGGACAACCGGGTGTCCACCAATCAGTTTGCATTGCCGGCAGGTTGTCCAACGGGCCCGGGAGCTTATCAGAAAACCATGGAAACCATAACTCATGTCCAACGTGGACCCATCCCGTCAAGTGCCTCCCATTGTATTCTGCTACTGCTCAATATATGCTACAAGAAGGACGATTCATACACCTCACCTCTCCGATCTCGAGAGCCTCCTCCTCAAACTCCCGCGTCAACGATGCCAGGGTGTCGGTTAGCAACCGCGCCAGCACCACCTCCACGGAAGGGCTCGGTTTTCGAGGAGGTACGTCGGCGTTGTCGTCACCGTCGCCGCCACCCTGATCAACGCTACCGTCCTTTCTCGGCGGCTCGGAAGCTTCTTGCTCCTCTTGCTTCAGCTTGCCTGCTCCCGCGTCCGCGTTGCCCTGGGCCTGTCTAATGGTAGTGCTGGGAGTCCTCTTGGCATTGGCCGCGTTGCATCTTGTGTCGACGGTTTTTCTCAGGTGAGCCTTGACCATTTGGGTACGCAGAAACGGGGGAAGAACGGGGGGGGTCTGTTACGGAAATGAATCCCAGTACCGTAAAAAGGTCAACACGTCAACGAAACAAAGGGTATTGAAGTTGACAACCATCTACCCGCGGTTGTGACATATGACGGCAGTGACGCGCTGCCAACTCCTTGCTGGAACTTCACCCGTGCGTGAGGGTGCAACAGACAATCCGATCAGGGACCAGGAATTTGTTGGCTCAACGGAATGTGTAGCAGCGGCACGCACCATGAAGTTCTCCTTGAGGTAGTGCGCGCACGCAGGGCCCGCGTGGCCATCGAACGTGGCGAAAGCCCAGCACGGAACCTTGCCCTTGCCGCTGCCTTGGCCGTCAGAGTCAGCCTGTACGCCCAACCCTTGAAGCTTCCTCATGTCGACGTGGATTTTGCCCTGCGGAGGAGTACAGCAGCAAGAGCAGGCATGCTATGGTCAGAGGGCGGCAAGTAGAGTAGAGTTGGTCTGGGGTGTGCAACATGCCGTGTAAGCGTAATCGTGCACGTCGATGATATCCCGACACCGGGCACAACTGCGAAAGCCGCGGAAATTAGTGTCGTCAATCAGTCAGTGCAAAACGAAGAACGCGACGGAATTGATGCTTTTATCTTTGACCTGACGGAGTCGAACGAATCACGGCAGTAGGACATCGGCGGTCCATGCCAAGCATATTCACATGCATAAATAAACGTGTACGAACAAGACACAATCGCGTGCTCTCGAAGTTTCAGCTAGTGGGATAAATTTGTGAAGGACAGCAGTAGACACGTGCACACCCACACGGGTCGGCCACTAAGAAAAATAGCTGCAGAAAGCCGAAAGTCGAAAGGGTACGCGGCAAGTAGCGCCTTACCGGTTTTCGTCTGGCCAACTTTGAGCAGCAGTACATGTCGTGTGGAGTGGCGCAGTAATTCATCGGCGTACCCCGCACATTCAATTTTCTTAAAATCACACCAGACAAGTTGGAAAAGAAGAAACTGAAATAAATGACTCACGATTCCTCTTTCCATGAAGCAGAACGAGAACGAGTCTGTTCGACTCCGATCTCCTCTACGGATATGCATAGGAATCAGGAGGGATAACGCGACAACAGTAACAGCAGCATGAGTTATCTACTGATCCGTTGCACAACGGAGAAACAGAGCGCAACACTGCTTCTTACACGACTACTCCGGGTAAATAGCTGTTGACATAGCGATCTAAGTAGCTGTTGCCCGGCTCCGGTTGCCAGCCATTGCAAATTCAGATTAGTTTCTCCGCAGCACCCGCGACAGCTACGCGGAACGGCACTCGGGGGATCCTCACTATAATAGACGATGGTCTACAGGGTAGCAAGGCCACCGGACACCACAGCAGCCATATTAACGGCAAGCACACTTGTGTGTGCAGATTCCCTGCACCACCAAGCCCGCGACTCCTCTTTGCACACCGCGACTCCTCTTTGCACATGTTTTGGCTCTCACATGCACGTATCGGTCTTCGTTTTCAACGGACTTGGTGGGGCAGCCCTTGCTGCTGCAGGCTCCAAGCAAGCTGACGCCTAGCGTGCGTTGCGCTGATCGCTCCCCGTCGGCAACGGTACCACCGCGCCCTCCGGCCTTGACAACGCTGTCCTTGCTGCTAGACTGCTGCTTGCCGACGTTGACCTGTGAGTACGGGTGTTGGAGCCAAAAGGGCAGGACAAACGACAGCAGTAGGAAATTGTTTGCTACCTGCTGCATGCACGCCACGAGGTACATTTGTTTTTCCGAAAAAGAGGCACAGCTCTCTCGGTTCAGATAGAAAGAGCTCTGTGTCCGAGTGGGCGCACGCATGCACGGGCGGCCCGCGGCACGCACCAGGCACAGAACAGACTGCTATGCTGCAGATGTTTCCTTTCTCTCTGCAAGCAGCACACATGTTCAGTGCTTCGGAAGGGCGGGCAAACAGCTGTGTGTGCCATAATCGACCCGATTCTGTGCTGGAGTCAAGACACGGGATGCCATTCACCATTTGGGGTCAGACCCTCAACGCTCGGGTACGGGCAGCTTGGCGGAAAGACGTTCTGTAGCGTCTCGCATCTCGCATCCATATCATGCCGGAACTGGGTTAGAACTTCAGCCAGGTTTCAATTGCCCGAGGCAAGTCGATACACACGCAATCAAAACGGAAGCGAAGCCAACCCTATACCAACCTATAGGTCGGCAACACGTCCACTAAGCTGAGAGGGGTTGGGTACAAAAAAGCACACAACCCAAATGGCGCTAAAATCATCCGAAAAATCTGCGGCCCTTCATGTCGGGTGAACGCCAAGGGCAGTCTAGCTCGTCTATCGTGAACCAAGTCGCTGTTTCTGCCCGCAGCGCACGATGAACGACACCACTCTGGTGCACAGGGGACACGCATCACCTAGTAGTGCACCACGTACGGGTGGAAATCTACGTTCTACCCAGAACACCTCGTTTCGATCTATGCACAGTGTAGGTGGAGTTGGCCTAAACAGGGGTAGTTCAGCGTGAACGTGAACAGACCGATGCGTCGAAGATGAAACATACCCATACCCCGACGCTAGCTGCTCCACAATTCTTCGATACACACTCACGTGCACGCTTGGCTCGGCCTTGTTGATGCCCAGCGTCTTGAGGACCTGGCCGATTCCACCCCTTCTAATGGCGCTGGTGATGTTGCTGAGAGAGGCTTCGTAGTTGGCTCTCATTGCACTGGCTCGCGAGATCCCTGTGTCGACTCGCGCCATAGTAGCAGGAGCAGGGTACGACAGCCCACTAGCACAGCCCTCCTCCTCAGTAGCAAAAGCAGCTTCGCCGTTTTGTAAGGTTGCTTTGCGTTTCGTCTCCGGCCAAGCGTTAGTCTACCCCGAAGGAGCTAGTTGCTGGGTGTGCGCGTGACCCGTCGACACGGGCGGCCTAGGGAGTGCGTGTTTTTATTGTGTTCGTTTCGAACGAGTCGTTGCAAGTGATCCGTTGGAATCACAGGAGACCACTTTTTTTCTTTTTCCTGCTCCTGCTGTAGTGTGGTGGTGGCATCAGTTGCTTCAGGGCAACAACGCAACGCCAATAATATCAAAATATCCACGTTATCCACACAACCCCGAGGAGAGAGCAGAGATAGGTGGTGGATGGATGCATGATGGGTACCGTTGCAAGTCCCGTGAGCAAGGGGAAGAGGGAGTGCCATGACTGACGTATGCTTTCAGGCCAGCTGCGGGGCTACTGCTGTGGGAAACCAAACGTTTAGGTAATGGTTTTCAAAATGGTTTCCAGAATGGTAATACAGCAGTTCACTGGTGTACCATGTATATACGCTTTATTTTTGGTGTCTTGAAGAAGACCGTTTGTTCTCGATACAAAAATGACGCTATGCATCGTAGATTTCCCAATTCCCGTTTTACGTGGGAGGACGGAGGACTCCAGACACCACAAATTTGCGAGCGTTGATGCCTTCAGGCTTGATGATACAACAACCGTCATGTGTCCATGTTTCCGTCGAGCGAGCGGTATCCACAACCAACCGCTAAAAATCTAAATAGGATGACGGATACGTCTGCCAGTCCGCGGTAGACCTCGTAGTCTAGACTAGTTCAGAAAATTCGAAGGCCTTACGGAACTGGACAAAAACAACGGCGGACTGCTCTTGTGAGCGACAGACTCTCGAGCGAGTTCCCGTTGTTTGCCATTCTCTCAACATTCCATGTGTAGACTAATATTATATCGCGATTGGCAACCGTATTTTACATGTACTTTTTATCTAGTCTACAGCCCGGCCCAACTAACTACGTAGCCAAATTGGGTCGCGCACTGGTTGCTCTACAAGCTACTTCGGTACTGCTGTACGGCTCATACTGCTGTACGGCTCACGCGTTGGAAGTTGGAAACAAATCTACTTCAAGTACGGGCAATCGTGCCTCTCAATCGTCCCTGTTTTCTGATACAATCTATTCTACATTCTACAGGATCGTATGCATACAATACAGGTTAGCCCGGCCAATCCAACAGACAAGAGTTAGTCGAGAACGAACGGGCTTGTTGCACTGACGTATGTAACGTCCGCGCCCAAACGCAAAGAAAATACTGCTGTAAACGTTATAGACTAGTACATGCGTGAGATTTGTAGAGACACACACAGGTGTGTTCTGTACCACAGGAATCGTTCAAGTACAGCTGCCGACGCTTCAAACCCGCTATTTGTCGGGGAACTAGGAAGAGAGTGCAACATGCGATAAATACAACAATATTGTAACCATCCACATCTTCTGCTGCCCGAGCATACGCCCCTGGTGTGACTCTCCATATCGCTGGCGAATCGAACGATCCAACCCCGATGCTGCGGTACGACACGCCGAAAACCAACCCCGCAGACTACGCCGATTTCATAGTTGCCCCACATCTCGCGGGACCGCGAAAAAGCAGCTAACTGAGCGAAAAAAACGTCAGGATACCGCCTTGGATGCTCGAGAAACCACCCAGGTCCGATCCTCCCCGGTCGCGGCAGACAGCACCACTAGTTCCCCGTGGAGCGGGTCTTCCTCGACTTCAACAACCCCCGCAGGAAACGCCTGCCCGTCGTGCGAAACCTTCGTCAAAGCTGCGGCCTCGGGCTCAATCTTGAAAACCGTCATTGCCCCCGCGAGGGTCACAACGACGATAAGGTCTATTCCTGGCGCCGGTCTCCAAGGTAAGATTGTGTACGGCACAGCGGGCAGCTTCGATTCCCTCAGGCTTCGCCGGAGTTGGCGAAGCCCTGGTGCCACGCATTGGTCGACAATAGCAGAAGTGCCACAGCAGGGGGGGTAGGCGGAGGTGGGAAAGAGCGATTGTTGGGGCTTCAGAGGGCAACACAGCGTCTAGAAACAGAACTCTCACGGGTGAACGTACATGGGTTAAACTGCTCGGGTGCCCAATTCGAACTACATCGTGTTCATATCTGTCTGGTGAAAGCTCGGGGCTATCCGATGGGTGGCAAAGCGACTTCAGAGAAGAAATCCCGTCAGGGTTCGTCTTGTGGGACTATCAAAAAGAAAACGACCGGCGTCAACGGCACTCTCAACACAGGGCGGGCGGTTGACATAATTGAATCACCGGTGTACTGTTGACCATCCTCCTGCAAGACCGCCGAACAAAGACAGTCGCCATCACCGCCACCACCGCCTTGTCGGTCGCCGAGCCGCAGCAGTTGAAGGAGGTTCAAGCCGGTGTCGGCGTCTGGAACAACAGCCGCCAGCAAGGGCATGTCCCACGAGAACCCTGGCATAAGGGTAGAAAGTTCGCGTTCGTGGCGTGAGGGTCAACGCCGTTCGTATGTACAACGCAACACCTTGGACATGAAAGAACCGATCGCTCCCCGGTGAAATGTTGAATTCAGAGGAAGCGAGTGCAGTGGTGGAAGAACTCTTCTGTCCTCTGCGTCGACCACAGTTGCTGTACCTTTGTGAGACAGATGCGACACACGCCACTAATAGATAGCACCTTTGTTGTGCATGCGACGGAACTCACCTCAACCCACGTGGGCATGACCAGCAAGCGCTTTCAACCGAAACACACCGTAAACCGACCAACCACCCGCAAGCGCAACACTTTCTGCTTCAGCCATGAGTGACCACGTCCGCCACCGGTGTTGCGCATTGAATGTACCACCTAACACCTAACACAAACCGAATAGCGAAAAAAAACGAGAGAAAAAACTCGGAACCAACCCAACCCTTGCTTCACGTACCCTCCGAACGATTTGGCGCACCCGGCGACGTCGCCGGGGGTGTCGCATCCGCCGCTGGCCGGTGCGGGATGTCCAACAGGGAGGCACCGAGGGCGCGGAAACAACGCGTGTTTGCCTTGCCACTGAAGTCGTGAAGGTCCAGCAGCAACGAAGTCTTCAAGAAATGAAACGGCAAACGGATGCAGAAACAACACAAGCGTGTCCAAGGGTGAAGGGTGTCAAAAACGAGAACCGAGGTCTTCTAGCTCACTGGAGTCAATCCACCAGCTGGTGGGTGTATAAGACACCAGGCACGGTGCGAATTGCGATCGAATACGATGTCATGGTCCAAAAAGAGAGCATCAACAATTGGATTCGGGTGGGTCAGAGATAACTCGGCCGCTTCTAGGTGAGACCCTTTGGACGAGACCTTGCCAGGTTTTGACCTTTCATTTCGAATCAAACTAAACCCTCTTGGTTGGGGCTAAGAGGTTTAGGAATCGCCACACGTCTCGACAAGAGCGTGCAAGAGGAAAATGGGGTGAGCATTCCGCATGCTGCAATGTACTTGTCCACGCGGTCTACTTGGAACCTATTCGGCTCACCAACCAAGATCAAAACCTATTGTCCGCCTGACAGGTGGGTTGTGCCCAAATAATTCCAAGTCACGGAATGTCAGAAAAAAACTCGACTGATGTGTGACATAAAGGTACAGAAATATGAGGCATAAATAACACACAAGCGAAAGCGAGCGTTTGTCGTACCTCGCAAGCACAGCAGTCCTGAGTTGTGGCGTGCGGCTCATGCCTGCAGCCATCACACAAACGCTCCTTGTCGGCGACGAACAGCAGCCCCCATCTGTGGCAAGAACCGAATGGCCTTGGCATGTCAACGAGCAAGAATCTCCCCCGTATGCATAGAACCCAAACAACTGACTTCCTCACTGTTGATGCGTGTCCCCTAACCACGCCTGAACGCGCTGTACGGGTTTCATACCATGACGTCGCAAGACCCCAGCATAGACCCCAGTATAGCCCGGCGGCACCAGCACGACTTGTGATGGGCACGACACGGGCGTGATCTCTCGTGCGTCAACTTTCACGGGCAGGACTACCGCTGCGTGAATAGCGCACGCACAAAGGAGGCTGTCTCAGCGTTCGTCTTCTTCGCTACTTCGCTACGTTCAAAATAGCCGCTACCAGACGTGCCCATTGTTGCTTTCCCTCTCCGTTCCAACATCACGCACTCCTTCCGAGTACGCTGAGAAGCCTAAAACCACTTCTTGTACCAACGATAATTAGTACCTGCCGTCAGCCGTGCACTGGTAGTCGTAAGCCCTGCTGGCGCCGTCGGTGGGGGACGGGCTGTATGGTCGATTCCGCGTGAAAAGCTTCTTCGGCATGGAAGTCCCTCGCACATCCCACCGGAGCACTTCCTGGGGGCGGACAGCGCACGGGGTCCGCGTACAGTGCAAAAGCACAGGGTCACAGACACGCTTGGGAAACACAATCACGTATGTGCCGCCTGGCTGCTGTAGACTGAGGCACATGTCTTCCTATACCTGGACACTTCCCCCAGACCGTCAGGCGCTAGTCTCTACGGGGTTCACGCCAACGGGCCCGGCGAAGACGGGGAAGCTGGCAGGTGTCTACAAGCAGATATGGATCATCGTCCATACCATCAGGACTCTGTCTCTAGAAGGGCCGATGACGAGCTATGGCGATCAAATACAAAAATCGTTGATCAGATTCATAATACCGGGACACATGCGTGTACAATACGTAGGATCCCGCGTATCATCCAAACGATAGATGCATATAGTACCCTCAATGATGTCCACACCACGAAGCCCCAAGTTTTCGTATAGCTTCTAGCGACTACCATTGACGAAAGGCCGCTTGTCCGTGAAAACAATTGTTTAAAGGTCTTAAAAACGGCCAACACGGCCCGTGTCGAGACGCTTGCTGCAAATAGCGTCCTCAGGCACCTACCTCCTTGGTGACAATGACGATCACATCGTCGTCGATCCACTTCCACAGCCTCACGCTGGACGACTTGATCACCACGTGTCGCCTGCGAACCCTGTGGGTCACGCTGAACACCTAGGGTATCATCAATGACGAAACAAGGGGGGGGGGGAGGACACATGTAAATGCATGCCGTGGTCGTTGGACCATTGACCTTGCATCTCTACAATGCCGGGACGGAGCAATGCGCCAGGTTTGCGCCGGCCCGTGCTACGTTTCACAAGGATGAGAACCAGAATCTGGTCACCACCAGAATCTGGTCACCATACTTGCGCTTGTTGTGCCAAGCTAGATATGCCATGGGGTGATTGGGGGGGCAATAGAAACCAACCATGAATGCGGCGCGTTTGCGCGAGTGTAAGACCATCGGACATTCAAAACTAGGAATTAAGGACCCATTCTGAAGCTTTGCAAAAACTATATAGAGATGCGCCGTGAGCGCTGACATCGTGTGAACAGACGCATCAGCGGGATTTGGCAGTCATAAGCCATAAAATATCGTGGTCACCCCAAAAGTCTTACCTGCATCCCACGCTCCGAAAGCAAAGCGATGATCTGCTCATCTGTTCGCGGGCTGAGAATCGCGCTCACGCAACCGATGGGATACCTTTATTGCACACACAAGAGAGGCCGGTGACAACAAAAACAATATGTTGGGCCAAGTGTTAGCATGTGTGCATCAGGAACCAAATCAGGAACCAAACAAAAAGGCAAATGCGCGTGAAGCAGCCGACATCACGCCAGAAAAGTATTTGGACTGACTCGAAACATGCTCCCCGGCAACTCCGCAGGAACCCGTCTCTCTCTCTCTCTCTCTCTCTCTCTCTCTCTCTCTCTCTCTC